TCATTGGTAGCTTACCAATTCTGTGTACATGTACAAATGCAGGGAAATATCCAGCAGTTTTTGTGATTGTCTTTTTAACACGGTGCAGTATGAGGAAGGATGTGCAAGCATTTCTGCTATGACAATTTGTATGCCGTGCGAATATGCGAGTTGTGCATGCTGTCAAATTTTCATGACAATTTCAAGTAAAGCTTGAAAGCCTCAAGTGGATGTAAACCCAGCTGTTTATTCTTGAAGGTGTTACTAGAAAGCCTGCAGGCGAAGCCTGATACTGCCTTTATCATATCAGTTCATGTCTTTGAAAACAGATTGAGGAAAGCAAACTCCACTATTGGCAGCATATAAATGCACAGCGTGGCAAATGTGCATTTACACGTAGCACAAATTAGGTTGGGGAATATGTAAACTTGAGAACTGCTAAGGTTTTCAACTCAAGAAACTAGACGCATTAGCTCATAATCCCAGAGGTTTTCATTTTTTGCAGGATCATATGGAAAACTCTTTTTGAGCTGTTGGATGAACTCAAAATTATGAATGGGAGCAATGTATTCCATTTACAATAGGAGGATGAACTTTTTTGTGTCACTTCCCTATTTTCACAGAACTCACAATATTAATGTAACTTCAAATAGCATACCAACGGTTTTGCTTATAAAGAAGGCAAGAGTGGTTTTAATAATTAAATTGATAAATACTTCAAGTTAGACAGTACAGTGCCATTATATGTCGTTTCCTAAACTTTTTCAAATAGATTGCAATGCTTGTCCATTTAGGGTAATATATATATATAGGCTATTGGTTTATGTATTATTAAAAAAACTTTTGAGCGGTATTAGCAATACTTGCACACAAAGAGTTGTTATCCTGTATATAAAAGTGCTTATTCCCGTTATTTACTAAATGTAATCTGTCAATTTTTCAATCAGACTTTTTCAAGGTATGAACACGCTAAAAATAGGACAAGGTGAGTAATTCTTATTTCTCATTGTGTAACACAAAAATGAGATTTGCTCTGCACTAGGTGTAATTGGCACAGTTTACTTTTTGTATTTAAACGGTCATTTAGCTGTTATACGTCATCCTTAAAATTCCTGTTTTGGCGTTACTTAATGAATATGTTGGGACTTGTCCAACGCAGAATGTATTATTAGATGCCATTGAAAGGTTTACTACCAGTATTCACCAAACAGTTTTCCGGAATTGCTTCAGTCAGTTATTGTATTTTGACACGCTTCAAAACCTAAGGCGGATCCAGTCCGTGTTTACGGTTGTCATGGCATGTGCAGGCGATGATTGTGAGTTGCGTACTGCTGTCCATGTGCACTTCACAGTTGCCTGTGGGGGAAAAACACAAGCATTCTAATTGCATTCATCAAAACAAAACGGTCAAATATATTGACACAGTTTCAGATTGTTTTCTCCCATCAAGTGGTTTTGGTTTGTTGATGAAAGTGGAAGTCATTATAAGGTAGAATGATATTCTGGTTTTAGACGTTGGGGAATCAGTAAGACATCTCATTACGCTGCTCACCGTGTGGCTTGCTTCAATACATCCATCCATTTTCTTACCACTTACCGGAGAACATACAAACTCCACACAGACTACACCCCAGGCCCAGAATTGAACCCAGGGCACCAGCGCTGCGAGGCTGCAATGCTAACCTCGGCGCCACCATGCCACCCAGATTCAATGCGTGCACTCAGTATTTAGGAAGGTAACATCAATGAAACTCTTGTTTTACAAGTACTGTTAATTATCTCTGCACATTTTATGAAGTTTCTTTAAAGAAATACACCAGAAAAGAGCCTGGAACGGTTATTTCCTTTATGTAACCATTCATAAGCAGCGCAAGTTTCAAACTCCTGTTCATGTGTGGGCTGCCAGTAGTTTCTTGAATTCTTGACTTTTCAAACTGAAACTGATTAGAAGTATAGCTGTACAAGAAACTCAACCAACACAACAGTTAGGGTGGATTTAATCAGATAGTTTAAAGTGATATTAAACAAAATCACAAAACTTGTGGACAAAAATAAAAATCAAAGAGTCGGGATGTGTTTTCACTTTGACAACTGCTTTTGACAACGGTGGCAGACTGATCCTACAGATTTTCTGTACAGATCTGTAAAGAAACACTGTAACACTCTTCTATTATCCTGTCCTGAGACTCTGTCAGTCTGTCTGAACTAGTGTGTTGAAGTAGAGTATCTCACAGAGGCTGTGTTCAGTCATGTCATGAGCAGCCTGGCAAGTATTATTACCTTTTTATGTTACGGTTCTTATAGATTCATATTTAGCTCATTTCAGCACTTTGAACACATTGAAACTAACGAGCTTATTAATGAAATTACTGTGGATTAGTATATACATATCTTTGACTAGCTCTGTATGGGACTGTATTCTGTTGATACTGTTGTGCTATTATTAGAATATGCTTTTGTATTATCCTGTATCATTTTCTATTATTTACTTGATGATGACGGGCATAAAAGCACAAACCGAAACACTTGCTCATCTTAAATTAGAATACTGCTGGGACAGTCTGGTAAAGGCTACATTATCAGTGCATTGTCTGATATTAAAAATGGAATTTGTCTCAGTTCCACTCGGTTGACCATTTTGTAACATGCAATGCCGACATACTCTCCGTGCAACAGAACTCTCATTTTTAGCAGTACTTAGGGTCCTTTTCTAGTTTTTGTACAAAATGTGAATGTCAATATCTCAAAGGTGGAGGCATAGCAAACTGCTTTTCTTTACTGTGTGTCTTTATAGTTTTTACATTTGTGTCCATTGATACAGAAGCTAATTGCTGCCATCAAGAAAAAATGTCACGTTTCTCATAATTATGTGTAAATGGTTTATATTTGTATAACAAAAATATACAAATGATCATTTGAATGTATACATAACCTACTGCATCGTGCAGTGACAGTACTGATACTGTAACTCAGATGGAACTGTGGGGTTAGCGTTTGTGAGGGTGTCCAATCCTGCAGAATTTCGACTGGGGTTTAGTTGAAATTTTACCATTTGTGCGCAATATGAACATAGTCATTATATCCATGATGTATCCTTAAACAAGAAAGAGTCTACCGTGCAATTGATTCCAAAGTTTATAACTGAATTTCAGCTAATGAGACTGTAGGTATTTTATTACAATCGTGCTATCATGTGATTACATAAAGTACGCAATAATGTATTATCTCATTATTATGAGATACTGTGCTACCTCATAATAGCAAAAAGAATTAAAGAACTTTAATTACAAGATACTCCTGAATTTTTTTTTTTTGATGGCAGCATTTGAAAATATTTAAGTAGTGATATTGGGAATCGCCAGGTGTTGATATTGTTAGAGCACTAGACCTAGTTCTGTTTTTTAATAGGTCTAGTGATGTTTCAGTTTTTTGGCTTTTGAGCAGGCCATCTGACAGTGAGCCATACTTTTTTTTTTCTGCACTTTAAACACTTTAAACTTTGTTTCAATACATGTCTTCTAACTTGTGATGAAGCTGGAATGGGTGTCATTCCACGTTATTATGGATAATAACTTCTGTAGTTTTTTAGGTGGGTAGCTGCGTCAGCCTGAAGAATAAAATATTTCTGAATTAAGTAAAATCAATAATTTTTTTTCCTCTTCAAATTATTGTGCGTTGTGTTCATCAAGTGTCCAATATACCATTTATTCATTACTACATCTTTATTGTTTGAACAGCATTATCCTTTAAAAAAATCAAATATAGTGCAGAAAAAAATCAGTTCCAAAAAGGTATTTAGCTCTGCTTCCAGAAGCTTTTGTATCTTCCACAGGTTAACTGTAACTGTACCTATGTCTTCATTTTTATTCTCAGGAATGGATTTTAACATTTCAGTCAAAATAAATTCTGCAGGTGAAATCTGTTGCTTGTTTTGTTCTTCCTGAAAGCTGTGCATTCCTGTATAAATAGGTACTTCCAATGCAATTTAAATGTAAAAATCCTTTTTCTTCATAGTTTTTCATACTAATGTGCATATACTGTATACTTGTTCACTGTCTTTTTTAAAATGTCTGTATAGACCACCGCATTGTTTTTGTTCCTGGATTCATCATATCACTTACAGAGACGCAGAGCTCTTCAGTTGCACACGGCAGCAGCCTTTTCTCATCCAATCAGCACATTCATAAGCTGTGATCCTTTGAGAATGTGAACTGTGCAGCATTTCATTGATAAATGACTCCTTGTAATTTTAGTCCCCTCCCAAAAAGAATTTCAGGAATTTTGTTTTTCTGGGAGTCCCAAGCCAGGCAATAAAAAGACCATATGTAGGGTGTAGTTTAAAGATTCATCTCAAGAATGTAGAGGAAATTTGAGCACTGTTATAGTCCCTTAATTTTCTGCAGTTGATAGTAAATGTCTTGAGTCAAATTGTAAATTTGTTTAAAATATCAGATTATTTTATGCTGGTATCGGTTAAAGAGTTAATTACTTCTGTCCTTCCATTTTTTCGTTCTTCATTTCACTTATTGCCTCTGCACTTTTGTGTTTCGGAGCGTGGTGTTTTGAATGAAGTGTCAATATGCATATTCATCTGTTATGACTATTCCAGTCATATCTGGATTTAAGTCACTTTACTTTTGATTTGCTCTGCACTGCCAAACAGAATATTTCAGAAATTGATTCTTGAATTAAATAATTTTTCATCATGTACTCAGTGTGGCTAAATTAGTCTATTATGCCAACAAGTAGGGGAGTGAATCGGTTTCCCTCAGAACCTCATTTCAGTACTAGTCTTGAAACAAAATGTTGACATCCATTTCCAGCATCGACACCAGCCATTTCTTCAAAGTATCTTTCTAAGATTCAGATAATCAATCTGATGAAGCATTCCGGAATTCTCTCAGTTAACTTATAAAATAGAGAAAAGCTCAAGAACATACACAGAGCTACCGATTTATCCATTCCACCCAGAGTACCCAGAGGAAACCAGCTCTTGACATTTTTCTTTTTCTTTCTTTCAGCCCCATGAGTTTGACGAGTGCCGATTTGATATCAGTGTGAATGACAGTGTGTGGTACCTGCGAGCTCAAGATCCAGAGCACAGGCATCAGTGGATGGATTCCATCGAGCAACACAAGGTAAGCTGCAGTTCGGGGAAACTCCATTGACACGTTGCCCGTTGCCAGCTTAACTAGTCATCGGCACTGAGCCGTGTGATATGCAGTTAATAACTCTTGTGAAAGCTCGTTTAGGAAATATTTATTTCCCCATTCCAGGTCATATGGTCATCCACATGAAAAAAAAAAATCTCACTACTTAATTCTCAGTTTCCTCTCATCATATCCTCTCTTGGTTAAGAAAGACTAGATGTTCAGGAAGCTATGGGAACAATTGATAAGTATCATTGTGTATCAAGAACATTTCAGGTTGCGGTGTGCTGTAAGATATCAAAAAGGCCGCATTGTGTCACTTCCACTTTGGCACTCACAGCTTACAACGCGAGCTAGATGCTTCTTTTGAAATGAATTGTGAGAAATACACATTGAGGCCTCAATTGAGAAAGCTCCGTGAAGTTGCCTCACCCTACAAACAGCACAAACAACTTTATCTGGGAAATGCACCTTTCCCTGAGGGTTTTTGTTGCATTATACTCGCAAGTAACATCAAGGACATATTCAAGTCCAGAGAACAATTGTTGTTTTTTATGAACTATAGAACTTGTCATCGTAGAACGTTATTTCAGAAATTGAAAGAGCAAGAAATGATGTCCTTGTGTCAAAGAATCGCCTAAATAAACGGAGAAGGAGGCTTTGGTACAATACAGTGTCCTCATTTAGAAAAACATACGGCTGTTAATTTGGGTTTTAACATTAAATGGTTTTGGAATATTTTAATCTAAATGAGAGTTGGTGCTCTTACAGCTCCAGAACATTTGGTATTAAATCTGAAACATACAGCCTGACTTTTAAAATAAAAAGAGATGTTACAGGAAGGACGTGTTTTGATTGTAGATAACATAAGAAAGGATACTAACGAGGAGGCCTTTGGGTCCAACTAGCTCCTTGGTAGTTAGTAGCTAATTGATCCATGGGTCTCATCCAGCTGTCTCTTGGCTGTAGTCAGAGTATCGGCTTCAGCAACATGATTAACTAGCTTTTTCTGTACCCCCCACAACCCTTTGACTGAAGAACTGCCTTTGTTTCTCAGTTTCAATGCATTTTCACAAATTTAGTTTCAGAATAGGGGAAATGTACCGACGAAATAGATTTTTTGTTTTACACCTTGATATTGATTTTTTTACTCTAAACGTTCTATGAAAGTTAATTTCAGATTTGTCAATGACTCTGTCTGAGATACTTCAGAGGATGTGGTGGCATGAATGTTTATTTCTTTTAAGTGAAACAGTTTAATATAACAGAAATATGATTTAACGGTAATTCTGGAAAGCAAGCACATTTCATAACTTCTACTGGAACGTGTTACTTTTTATAGTGGGTGATAGTGATCTGAAGTCATTCTTTTGACTCCAACCAGCACTCTGTCCTCCAACCAGCACTCTGTCCTGCAACCTGTAATTTTTTCCATTTTTGCCTATAAAAAGGTGAATATTATTTCCTCTAATCGTGTCGGCACTTGAAAAGGCTATTTACTTCTACCACCTGGGAAATTATAGTGGTAAAATCTGTTAAATACATTGCATTAAATATTTTATGCTTAAAGAGGTAAAGGACAGCTTTATGCATTTTAGAAATGTGAAATTTAGGGTCAGGGTTAAAATTTGTGATGCTATTGCTGCTTGTATTACTTAATTTCTGACTTATTCTCAATAATTACAATATTTTGTAGCTGAAAACAGTAATGTAAATTACAATGGCATTTAAATTATACAAATGTACTAGAGGAAAGCATTAAATACGTTCATGAATATGGACTGTGATTTAGTACTGTCTTTCCTTGATTTAGTAGTGACTGTTAACTCACAACCTTTCACACTGACCCCCTTTATTCTAAAGCAATATAGGGATTAAAGAACTTAATATCTTAACAATAATTAACAGGAGCTTTTAAACAAAGCTGCTTGCACCAACAGCACGACCAAAAATGCGGAGAATTTTCAGTTGCATGTCTGTTTTAACATCATACTAAACCTTTACCAGCTGTTGAATATCCAGCTCTTGAAGCCTTTGAAATGTAAAGGAAAATAGTAAAGTCTCTTGTTTTTAGTAATGTGAAAGACACAGGGTGCGGTTTTGTTACTGTAATTAAAATCACATGGGGTCATTCATTTAGATTTTTTTGTGTAGGTTGTCTTCCATGTATATACATACTTTATAATCTAGTATTTGTTTTTTACTTTGACTCACCCTACCTTTTATTCACAAGCATACTCTAATGCTTTATTCGTTGCTTACTTAGCATGTAATCTTTCCAGAAGACACTTGATCCGATTGGCATTAGGCACATTAGTCATCACAAAGTAAGTCATCAGTGTTCTGGCAATAACCACTTCCTAGTGGGATTTTACTGTAATGGCATGCTATCAGCAGCCAGTGGGGCACAGAACAACAGCTTGTAAAGTACTAGGTCAGCCCTTAGCTACGGAATCTGGTGGCAGAAACACAAATACTCTAGTAGAACTGGGAACAGAAGCAGCTGCACAGAAATAACCGTCTTTTTCATAATTAGGACAGCCCTTCTTGAGACCTAAGTAGGTTAAGATGACATGGACATATTACAGTGAAAACCATGTGTAATATTACACAATAGTGGGAAATAATGGTGTCATGTAGTGCCATTTCCATAATCTGGTGCTACAAGCATGGCCAAAATGACCCATTGAAGCCCATCCTACATCCTTTCCTGTTGTCATAAACGTAATTCCAATAAATACTTAAAGAAGCCTTTCCATACTTGCGACCTGTCGTGACAGTAATGCAAATTTAAATAACAGATTTGAACTCTGTCCTCCAGATAAATATTAAATCATTGGGATTATTATTAACATACAAGGAAAATGTTTCAATATGCCAGCATTCAGGCACAAAGAATAATGTTTTTTTATTCAAAAGGGATAAGACTTCAACTTATCAGAAAAAATGCCAAACTCCTTAACATGATACCTTTTGGCCTATTTATAGAATTTCTTTTCAGACACTCTTCTTTCTCTTTCACCGGTACTGTATTGCTACTTTTTTGTATTGTTTCAAAAGGTTTAAAAGGTGACATGGGTCCTGAAAAAAAAATGGATTGTTCTGTCTTTATACGTGTTTTTTCTGGTTAATATCCTGTGAAAAAGCCCACCCAGGTTAAGAATGGAAAAATAATACGGGACTCACTGGGAGTAAGGATGTTTACTCCTCATCCTTTTGTGCGAGTTAATGTGAACTGTAGGGAAGTCCTGTAGACCCCTCTTCCTTTGACAGCATTTCCCCTGCCCTTGCTCACATATTCTTTACTGACTCACTAATAACGCCTGTTGCACTCGGAGAATAAATTTACTTTTACTTTTTTAACTTATTTTGTGAATGTGCAAGTCTCCATAAACTGGCAAACAAATAATCTGATCTTAGTCGGGCTTTGAGCAGCCATTCTCTAACTGTGCCCTAGATAAAAATAGGTATTTGCTATATTTCACTCATTTGTTTCAATGTTTATATCATGCAGTTTTCTGTTGGTAAAGGTATGTTACTGATTTGCTCATAACTTTTCTTCCAGACTGTGTTTTTGTTTGGGTTATATCCAAAATTGCCATTGCTGTGTGCACGTGCAGAGCAGTATTGTTAATGGAAAATATTTTAAAAGTAGTGACTTTTGGGAATTCAGAATGTAAGACCATTTGTTAAAACTGGCCCGGCTGGTACATATCATTCTGACAGACACCCACGCGCAGTTATTTCTTGTCCTCATTAGCTTCGATGATCATGTAGCTAAGATGCACTTTTTTCCTGTTAAATGTCTTCAATTGTATTTCAAATCTTAAGGTCAAAATCTACAACTTGGTTCAAATATGCCGTTTTTAATATCTACTGCTCAGTAAACCCGTTCAAATGTAAAATGGACTAATCCGTTGAATTTCAGTCCAGGTGTGAAGGTTGCTGCTTTATTTGTCAGATACAAGAAAAGCGCCACGCCCTAAGGAAGACATGCATCTTATTTATATCTTGAGGTTGGGCAATCCCTTCCACTGATATAGAGCAAGAATAGCAGAGATGTACTCTCATTCGCACTTGTACAAGTGCTTGGAAAGAATGAGTCACGCAGCACATTGCATCCATCACTGTATGAGCATTGAATCATGATCAGCGAAGCCCTCTCAGTGCGTTTCCAGGCCTGTCACGTCCTGGCAACAAGTACTTGATACCTGCAAAGGTTTATTTCAGGAAAAGCAATCTTGACCCCTGTGTCAGCACACCATTTTTAAGTATGACTTTTTGTTCTTAATTTTCTTTCCTATTAACATTTCCTATTCCTTAAACCATTTACTCTGTGGATTTTCTGTTTGTATATAAATCTGTCTCAGTACTATAGTATTTTCTATCAAGGTTTTGTGTAAGTTTATGATCCTTCAGGCTTTTCTCAAAGGGATGTGGTCACAGTTGTGAAATTTTGCACTTCATACTTCCGAGGTATGATTTACTTATAGCAAAAAGCTGCACTTGGCAGGCTTTTTTCGTATGGTTAAGTTGCAGCATGTGAAAAGCAGTGTTTACAGTTTAGTACAAACCCCGAAAACTTTAAACTCACTCCTTCTGCTTGTTGCGAACTCTGAAAACCGCTATTGTACTGAGACGGGTTGCATCTGTGGGTGTCTTGTGAGTTTTCTCACTTCAGGAAATGTTGTCCTTTCCTTTTCAAAAGTGAGTCAACCAACGCCTTCAGCCTTGACCAGATACCAACAGAAGAATTCATTTGAAAGACCTTTTTACGAGTAATGCTGCTAGTGTTGCTTTTAAGTAAGGGTTTTTTTTAACAGATCAGGATTAAAGTGTCTTGTTCGAACTGTGAAATGAATGATTGATAAGGGAGAAATGTTTTTTTTTTCAGAAAGTTGTTTCAGCTGGGTGCAGAAAATGAATCTGTGTACTTGCTCCATATACATATAGGTGAGCAACAAAAAATGTGCTTCTTTAAAACCGAG